CTATCGCTAGGAGTTTCATTTGAATTTAAATTTTCTTTAATTTCTAACTAATTGGGATTGCATGCATAAGGGATACTAAAAATAATTTATAATTAACTATTAATTTATAATAATTATTAATTTACATTTTCTATTTGGGATTACTTGCAAGTCATTGTAATAAAAAGATCAGGTTTACCTTTCACTCTAGCCGTAGCCATAGAATCTTGATAATTTTGCATCATGTTTCTTGGAGAACTAATAAATGATGATGGTAAAATAATAATTTTACCTACTTTACCGTTAATATTTTTAGCTTTATTTTCCAAGTAGTCTGATAATCCTTTATATGTTTCAACGCGTAATTTGGCTTGTTCTTGTTTAAAAAAGTTCATTTTATCTTGTTCAATTTTTACATAGCTATCGACTAACCATTGTTGGAATAATTTGCCTCCATGTATAAAAACATTATATTCATCATTTCGTAATGCTAAACGGTATTTAAAATAACCCGCTCTAGTAACACGTCTTTCTTTCGTTATTTGCTTTGGTATATTTCTATGCCAACCTTGCGTGCCGTAGGGATAAAATACTGGATATATCCACGGTTCGACATTTGGATCCATTGCCTTAACTTCTTGTAGTTTTTTAGTATTTTTATTTCGTATTACTACATAAGAATCGGGAATATCACCATCAGATTTTGTTGCAAATACAGCTGCAACTTCGTTACACTTTTGAAAATTGTAACGATGTTTATTAGTTTCAGGTTTAAGTCCAAATAATAAATGTAAATCTGCACAATTGTTATTTTTTTTTTGTTCTTCTAATTCTTTTCCCATCATTTCGTACGATTGTGCAAATATATTATGTTTACGCATAAGGGAATCCAATAAATTTAATATTTCCGGATCAAGATCTGCATTAAAATTAATTCGGTGTTTAGTTGCTTCATTTTGATCAACTATAAATAATTGTCCAAATGATGGACTATCACTTTTTTGAGGATATACTGATGTATTTATGTGATAATATATATGTCCTTGTACAACATAACAAAAAGGTCCAGGTCGGTTATGAAATTGCATTAAATTTGCCTTCATAGATGCAAACGAAATTGAACAATTATATTTTCTAATATTAGCTATAAACTCTTTTGATTTTGGATGTTTACCATTTAAAAGATCAAATAATTCAGGGGGTGGTTGTGGTAACTTATCTAATTTTACTTCACCATGTCCACAGCAATCATAAAATGAATTTCCTTTATTAGAAATTGTTTCACATTTAAAATGTAAAGCATTACAATGTACACAGCATATGTCCATTGGTCCTATATTATACTCATCAATGTTTTGTATATTACTATTAATATCATTATTATTATTAGAATATTTCAAAGATGCGGATTTACGTGATTTTGGATTATGTGGATTTTTACAATATGTATGGTCATGTAAAGTTATATTATTTAAATGTGCATTATTATTTGTAACTTCATTTAATGTCAATGTATTTATATTTTCTGAAATGTTATTGGATGGTATATGAATTATTTGATTATAATAATTGGCTGTATTAATAGTTGTGGTGTTGATAGTATTAGTATTTATGTTTGCATCAATAATGGGTATACTGTTTGATGTGCTTGGGATATTATGTTCATATTTTTCATTGTGTCTTGATTGGGCTTTAGTTAAACGATTTTGTTCACGTTTTATTTTTTTTGTGGTCTCGCGTTCCTCAGAACTTTTTCTTTTCCTTCCCATATTAGAATGTTTGAAAACAAATTTTAATTGTAGTAATATTCAACTTTTTAGGTAGAAACAATATATTTTTCGTCAAATAGTAATTGAAGTAATAATTTATTACATTAATCAATTCGTTCTTCACACCAAACCGTCTCGAAATTGTCAGTTTGATGTGGAATTTTTTTATGAATAATTATATTCATCAATTGAATCTGAAAATAAAAGAAAGAATTTTATGTAATATAAATTTTAATATTTCTATATATTATACACACTATTAATTTATCATATTTTATAGAAGTTAGAACGATAAAAGTAGATTCTATGTTAAATAAATAAATAAAAAATTGTGGTTCATTTACAATGGTTTCAACTATTTCAAGACTGAAACAATAAGGTATCGAGCAAAATCTGCTACTTTTATCTAAAACATGTACCAAGAAAAATATAATATTCATTTTTACACACAAACACTCAATTAGGTGTTATTATTAGAATCTTTTTTACAAAATACAGTATCTTATTATACAATATATAATTAATATCGCAACTGTCAATAATTGATTCCACATTAACGTACTTCACTTATATGTATAGTATTAATTGTACATTATAAAAATGAAATTTAATGGTACCTTTGTGAACACAAATTTCCAGTAATTGATCAACAATCATATATCAATTTGATTGATAATTGTAGATTGCACGTAACACTGGATTCATTAATGATGTTGAAAATACAATTTACGTAGTTCAAGTTTGATTGCTGTGTAAAATACTATTTAGGTATATAAAGCTTGCGTAGTTATATTTATCGTTAACTTTTGAGTAAGTTGAGTACTTTTTCGATTATAACATAATCAGTTTGGCAAATAAAGCTTGTGTAGTTATTGTTAACTTTAGAGTAAAGTTAGTATACTTCTTTGGTTGTGTAACAATCAATTTATATAAAATAAAATCTTAAATGATTTCCATAGCAACAATGCCGATTTGATTTTTTGACTGTTCGATCGTTGCGATAATTCCGACAGATGACGTGCTTTGTAGGTTGTCGTGTTCGGATCATCATTTAAAGTAATAGTGGGATGCGCGACTGCCAAAGAGATGAAAAAACAGCGACCCGAATTTAAGATAGCTTAATTTAAGAGAATGAACTTACCAAACATCAAACTGGACACAATAGCGGCGTTATACACGCGGGCATTTACTACAAGCCTCAAAGCATAAAAGTAAGCCTTTCCAATAAACTTGCAATGACGAATTAAACAATCTATCAAGGCTCTTTTTTTTTCTTAATTAAAAAAGGTTGATGCTTTTCTCATGCCAAGCGTACGTAACGTGATTTCTTGAGGTTTGAGCTTATTTGCAAGCACGGAATGATACAATTCAATTTTTCAGGCAAAATTATGCGTCGAAGGCTTGCATTTGTCCTACGATTATCTCGATAAAAAACAACATACTTCACAAAAAAGTCGGAAAACTTATTATAGCTCAAAATAAGAGTCAAGTTCACTGTCGTTAGTAACGATAAGTGCAGAATTGTCCGTTTGATTCGGATTCGCGCCGTGTCTCGGTAACAATTGGATCAACTTTTTGTAGCAACTGCGAGACATGGGGTAGTGCAGCGGGCGGTGTCTCGCCCTCGTCGTTGACCGATCTTGGATAGGTGCTGCCTTGTCTCAGCAGTAATTCGATCGTGTCGAACCATTGGTAGCCGATCAAGTCCAGAGTGTAGTAAAGTGGAATGTTGTGCTCGAACATCGTCACCATGTCGTTGAATAAATAGCTTTAACTGTCTAATCAAAAATAATTGTATAATAATTTTTCTTTACACAGATAGGATTAGGATTAGGAATAGGATAGGAATTAATTTTAGAAAAGTACATTTTATTTATCTATTTATTACACATAAACTCAGGTAAGTATTAATTAATGGTATTAATTAAGTATCTATTTATGAGTAAATCAAGGTAAGTATATTAATTAATGGTAAGTAATAAGTATCAATTTTATAAATATACATAAGTAAGTATTAATTAATGGAAATTTATACTTTAGAATAATAGATATAAAATAACATAATTAAATGTATGAACTAATGTAGTAAATGTAATTTGTACGTAAATTGTAAGTAAATGTAATTTGAACATGAATGTCTTAATTAAATTCAACATAAATAGGAAAGTATATAAATTTAGTCATAATGTTATTCAGCATTATCAGTCGATTTTCTTTTAGGAATCCTCGTTCCTTTCAGAAGGTCCAATAGTGGTAATTCAACATTATCTATAATAGTAATACAATCCAAATTGTCCACTTGCATGTATGGTATTCCGTAAGAAATGATGCGTCCAACTATTTTCACGTGGTTATTTTCTTTGAATGTCGAGTTCTCGAAAGAATTTACTTTTATTACTATATTTATCTCTACATGTCAACAAATCTAAACTTGATGATAATATGATAAAATAAAATAATTATATGTGAACGAATCTAAATTTAAATAATAAAATAATAAAATAAAATATCTCTAAATGTTAATTATTAAATCTAAACTTGTGAAAAATAATAAATAGTAAAATAAAATGACTACATGTAATAACAAATTTAAGTTTATCTTGACTATAAATTTTAAAAAATGATCAAAGTTTGTAATATTAAATTTTTTATGTACTTACACAGTTTTCTCATAAAGTTTAATTGCTCCTAATGCTTCGGAAGTGAATAATAATGTCTCGGGATCCGGAATATTTGCGTAAAAATTTTCAAGCTCTAATCCGTTAGACATTTTGGATTAATCCTTTAGGTTAGAAGTGAACAGGTTACACGGCTCTGATATTTTCAACTGCTCGTCCGCACGGATGGAGAGAAATGGCTCGAGGTAGTGGTAGTGATTTGTTGGTTGCAGTTTATTATATGAAAATGACGATCGTACTGATCGTCTTTTTTCATTTAAAGAAATGACTATCAGTTGGCCCATTGCAGTCGAACTAAACATCAAATTATATATTATATATAAACTGCAAATACAATGAACGCTACAGGTGGCCACTGGCATGAAGCTGCAATATGTACGCAGGGGGCACGCCCAGCTTGTGAAACGGCGCTTTTGTAAATACACATACATACACAGGCTACTATAGTAACGACATAGTATAGTATGCATACACACTTAGTAATCTGTGTATGCGTATGTGTTTACAAAAGTTGCCGTTTCGCACGCTGCGTGCGTACACAGCTCCTTCAGCTCCCGGCGTGTGGACACTTCTGTATTCTTATTTTGGAGTCCAGACTTAGCAGTTTGCAATCCGTGCAGCAGTATCACAACTTTGATTGAATTTTTTTTCGTTCTTAATAAGGTTATTGTAATAAAAAAAAATGTCCTCACCTTTTGAAGAATTATTCACACCGAGTGATGTGATCGATGACTTTCAAAGCAATGATCCAACTGCGTAAGTTGATTTTTTATTTTTTTAAAATATATTTTCAGTTTTATATATACACTTATTTTCTGCACACATTTTAATGCACACATTATAATGTTTATGTGAATAATGTTCATTTCTGCACATATTATAATGTTTATGTGAATATGAATTTTTACAGAACTATAGTGGGTTATGTGGACCATATTTTAAGTAACGGTGGAACAATGACTGGTAATATCTACTACAAAATTGTCGTCAATAATGGAAATGGCAAAAGAATCCAAGTCATAGGATGGCAAGATAATGTCAACAAATTGGAAGAATTAAATCTAGTGAGCAATGACGTAAGTTTTTTCATGCATTTTTAAAACATTGTAAATACAATAGTTACATGTTTAGATTGATTGTTGCATTATAATAGATTCAAACGCATACACAGTCAGTGTGTTTATTACAATGAAATAGTTGTTATTATTTCTAATATTATTATTGTTTTATAACAGGTTGTAAAGGTGCAAAATGCAAGAGTGAAAATACCAAGAAACGCAGCCTACAACTCTGGAAGTGTACATTTTGAATTACAATTAGAAGAAGCCCAAACGCGAGTGACCCGTCTAGGATCACTTACTGCACCACCAAATGATGATGATAATCTACCTTTAATTTCACTAATTGATGCAGAGAATTTTATTAAAAAAGAAATACGTAAGTGATAACATTTGTTTCCCATTAAATTTATTTGTTTCAATATACTTGTACTATATACTATAAAAATTTTACAGGTATTCGAGGCTGGTTGAAAACCAATTTTGGTCATTTTGTACATCAACAGATGAATTTTTGGGTAGCTTCAATTTGTGATGATAATGGGAATAAATTAGAAGTAAAGAGTAATACCCAGATCACTGAACCTGAGCTGAATAAAGGAGATTTCGTTGAAATGAAGGGTGTCATCGAAAGCCAACCTCCTGGGCCTTTAATCTTGAACATAATTGGAAATATATCAATCAGTGAAATGGAACAACCAAAATCATTTGAACATTTACTATTAGCAACTAATTGTGTATAACGTTATTCTAATTTAATATTTTTCTTTCTACTTTATTTTAATTGATAAGTAATTAAGTTATTTATCTTTCTTAATCTTACTTAAATTTAATACATGATTGTGTATAATGTTATTCTAATTTGATAGCTTTCTTTCCATTTAATTTATTTCAATTAATTTCAATTAATAAGTTATTAATTTACTTAATTCTAAAAACTCTTTGAAAAAATGTTAACAAATAATATCTGATTATTGAAACAAATGTGTTAAAGTTTAATGTATACAACTTTATATTAATATACATATAAAATTGATATATATTGTAAATTAACAAAATAATGTAAAAAATCATGAAATAAATAGTGATTATGTAAAAAATTAATTAATTCATTTCTATAGACATATCCTCAAAGCATTAAACGAATTAAACGAACGAAATATACAGTAATGTAAAGTGAAGTGAAGCAATTTTATATTTCATTTATTACAATTTTTGTATTTTCGAGAAAAACGCGTATTAAGTTGATTGGGCCAGCCTAACTGAACCCAGTCGAGTTGAGATCTGAACCTAAGATATTTTAAGCTACTATGAGGTAGCTTTTGAACCATGTACTTATGAAATTGAAAGGCGCATCATAGCGATGACACGGGGCAAAAAATATGGACTTAAGTCGTTTTACCTTTCCACGCTTTGCACTTAAGTCCACTTTTGGTGGTCACACTTTTTTCCATATCAATAATTTCGCTTCGTTTGTCATCATTACCTCATTTAATGATTTTACATTGATAAAATAGCTCATTTAACGTTATACTGGTGTCAAATATCAAATCTTGCAACGAAAAAAGGCCAAACTGAAAATCGCTAAAATGGCTCCTCGCGTATCAAATTTACCAACCGTATAGTGAAATTTACAACATTCGAAGAGTGTGAGAGCTATTTGTATGTTTGAATATCATTTTCTTTCATTTTCAGATCAAAGTAGACTCTCTATAGCATTTTGCAGCTTGCAAAGGTGGACTTAAGTCGTTTTGCCTTTCCTCGTTTCTCATGAAATGGACTTAAGTCGTTATGCACAATGCTGAAACTAACGATAGAAGCTATACTCGTCTATTCTGACCCTTGCACCTTAAAGTAGACTCTAAATATAGACGTTTTTCATCATAAAATCGATTTCCAAAAAAATGGACTTAAGTCGTTATGCCTTTCCACCACAGATATACATTATATATATCGATATGGATGATGATCTATCTAGTCTATTAGCCTAGTCTAGTCTATTAGATAATCTATTAGTATGTAAGTGATATAATAAATGATATAATATTGCGATGATACCTTGCGAGCCGATCGATCGATCTAATATTCTACTCTCCTTATCTGTCGCTCGCTCGATCATGCGACGTCGATTATTATTACGTACATACATACACTTGCTTATTTTTGAAATAGGAATGTGGGTGAAAATCTTAAGAAAGACACATTGTATGCAATAAAACGATATATTTATTTTATCTCCCCCGTTCAGGAAACTGAAACTCTTTTCTCCAATCAATTGCTATATTATAAGAATTTCTGTACAGTTTTTTTCATTACACAGATTGTGTTTACTCGGGCATACCAATTGTTCATTGAGAATCGTCGTTTTGTCACCTAGTCTCCATATATCTGTATGTTTTATTATTATCATCTTATATATTACAATTCGAACTATTTCAAATTATACTATTCACACTGCTATATCGACTGAATTGAGCAGCGATCTAACGGAATCGGCCAATCACATCGCGAATAACTGGGTGACAAAATGGCGACTCCCAATTGAACGGAACTACTTTTTATTTATTGATTATATTCAAAGCATATACTAACCTTTTTAAAGAGAATAAATGGGATTATTATTTTTTACGTTTGATTTTAAGAGCCTCACATATAAATTGTCAGCAAACTTTTTAATATGAATGATGGTAGAAACCTCAAATCTACAAAATGCAACTTTGCATAATATCTTAATAATTATTAAAATCAAGCTATTCTAATAATTATAAGAACAAAGATACTGAATTAAATCTCATTTCTTATTATCTTTTAGAGATTTGCACTTGTTTATTTTTATCGGGTAGGTTATGGCCTCGTTCGAAGTAAATCTATTTAGAACATATAACATAATAGTTTTATTTCATTTTACTGTTGAAGGCAAGTATCGGACATTATAACAATTTAACGAATAATTTATTAAATGATATTAATTTTTTTATTTTCAACTGGCTCAAAATATCGAACGAATTATTTATTTATAACTTTATTTAGTAAATTATTCAATCTTGTTGGAATCGCTCTTATTAATTATGGTAAATATAGACATTTATTCGACATTGTAACCCAATCTCATCAAATTTTGGTCAATTTCTCCTCTAATGCTTTTAAAGCAATTGAAGCAAATTCGAATGTTCCAATCAACTTCTTGGGTGACAAGTTGTAAATTATTTCGACGGGCCTGGGCTATTTGACGAATTTCTTCGAGTTTTTCTCCAAAAATTCGTACCATATCTTGATGACGGAATCTTTTTTCACATGCATAACATGCATAAATTATTTTAACTGGCATATTGATCTTGTACGCTCTTATCTGTACAAATGTAAAATGTATTACTTCTATGCTCTCATATGCGTAAATATAGTTAAAATAAATAGTGTTCAACTATGCAGATAAAAAAAAACAATGATCAAGATGTGTAAGAGAAAATTTAAGATTTGACGCATGTGTATTTGAATACATTAGTAAAGCCTTATGCGGCTGATGTGTCTATTTGAATGCGAGATCGTTGTATCTAGCGTAAGTGTCGATGGCAGTCAGACCATGACTACTGTGTGAACAGCGCGTAATACTGCCTTTGCTGGGAAGAGATGCACAGACGGGCGCATATAATGCAGGAACAGCAAGACGTGCCTCTCGAAAGAGATTGTGCGTGGAGCAAACTATGACCGTAAGCTGGCATCGACGGCTGTGGCTTCTTGGCGGAAGCGATCACTGCCGCCAGCGGCGGCGCCCTGTCTGAGCTATGCCCCACGAGTGCCTCAGTACGAGCTCGACAGGTGCACCATATCATAGTTCACAAACCCGTAATGGGAACAAGCTGAGATGAGAACATGATGACTCTTCAATCACGTGAGCGAGCTTACATTAGTACGATCTGTGGCGATAACTGCAACCAGTTGACTTGCACGAAAGCTCATGGACCTACGGCCTGAACGCGAGTCGATAAGACGCGCGCGAAAAGTCGGGACGGGACGATTGCTGTAACGAGTGGCTATTAGCCCTTGGTCTGCTTGAACGACGAGCACGAAATGCATATCGTGAAAACTGCAGGATTATCACAAAAGACTCTATTTATCTTATCTTCTATGACGAGCTCGGCCATCAGGCTTTCGCCAATGTGTCGCGTTTACACACTGATACTAGAAAAAGTTATTATATAATTCCATGTAGCATTAAGCTTGCATCCAAACCAATAGCAATCTCACATGGGCTCGCCACGCTTTACTCATACGTCATAACAATATACCGTAAGACTCTTGAGCGTAATGTTGTGAGCTTTGAAAACGTTTAACCTGCTAACCTCGAATTAAGAAAACGTCGATATTTTAGACTGATGACAAACGTCTCCTTGTCCGATCGGATAGAGGCTCGTACGCGTTGTCCCGAGTTTCAGTCCTCGCAAAATAATAATTTTTTTCAGAGAAATAGAATAGTGTAGTGTAGTGTAGAATACAAGTGTATTTTTTAAGAAAATATATTTATAAAAAATATGTATTTTTTATGAATTTTTATGAGCAAAATAGAGAGGCAACATACTAATTGCGAAATAATATTTTTGAATTTTTATTTGACTGATTGGGTACATGAACAATTTTTTTGGAAAATAAAAAATAGTAATGATTTTTCCGCGAGTGAACACTATTTATTTACATTATACTCAAGCATATACTAACCTTTTTAACGAGAACAAATTGGATTACTCCTTCTTAAGTTTGGTTTTAAGAGTCTCAAGTCTAAATTTTCAGCAAACTTTTTAAAGGAAAAGATGATAAAAATCTCCAAAATGTACCTTTATCGTAAAAACTAAATAATTATTAGAGTCAAGCTACTTTATTAATTATTAGAATCAAGAATAATATCTTATTGAGTCTTTCGTAGTTGTGAGAGCTTTGCGTTTGTTAACTTTTATCGGCTAGGTTATGGTCTCGTTCGAAGTAAATATATTCAGAACATGTAACATAAGAATGTTATATTTATACATAAACACTCATAAACGTGGACAATTTTGCTGTTAAAGACTGTTTTTTTCTAAAAATTAAAATGACACATTTTTTAAAAAGCTTCAGGCATTGTCGATAAAAATCGTGTATTTGTTACAGCAGTCCGTATTCCAGGAAAATACATTATCGAATAATAATCTCGCCTTTTTCCAGTAGCTGAACATGCCCAGCTCAACAATTTTTTATGTTTATTCATTATTTATTACGCATATCATTATTACTCTTATGAAGGTTTATTTTATTTTTTTAATTACATTCAAAATATTTTTATCATAATTAAAAGCTTTTTTAGTCAATTAATTCTTAGCCATTTCTTTTACATAGTCATTCAATAACTTGTCGTTCCATCGTTCTTTCAGTTCCAATTTTAAAGACTTCAATGTTAACAATTTAACAGAATTTTTATCGTGTTTAAAGGTATTTACTTTGCATTTTTTATTTTTAACTGGCTCAAAATATCGAACGGATATTTTATCGATAGATGTTTCTTTTTTTAATTTATTAAATTTTGTGGTTATCGATGTTATTAATCCTGGTAAGTATGGAAATTTATCCGAAAAATTAGCCCAAACCAACTGATTTTTTTCGAAATGTTCTTCTACATTTTGAGTCGATTTGGTTGAAAGAGCATTAGTTGTTGAAGGGGTTGAAGAGATAGGATGCAGAAGTACTATTGAAGTCGGATCTATTGATTGAG